GTACTTTGCAAAACTCTGTTTATCTCTTCCATCCTGCCTGTACTGTCTTACTTCCCAGACATTGCTTCCAAACTTTTCTTCCTATATAGAACTCAGATTAAATCATTCATATCCCTCTTCAATAATTTTTAATAAATTCTCATTTTGATCCTAATGTATATATGTATGTATATAGATCTGAATATACAAATATGAATTCGACTATATAAATGTGTTCACTTGTTCATGTGTGTGTGCATATTACATAATATACATTTATACATACACACAAATATTCTTCCACCTTTGTTTGCTGTCAGTTAGTTGAAGTTTTCTTTAAAAAAAAAAAGCACCTTGATTTAACCCTGGAATCTCTTCCTGCACAATTTTTAGGAAATAAGATTTCTTAAATAGGGAAATTTTCATCTTCATCTAGCCAAAATGTGTAACTGAAAGCCTTCTGAACCCAACTTGCTCTTTCAGTACTGATGCAGTTCTCTTTACAGAACATGCCTAATTCATTTACAGTTTAATAGAATTATTTCCCAAAGTTTATCTCAAATGTCCCCCCTTCAATGACATTATTGTCCCTGAAGCTTTTCCAGATTACCTGGAATAAGAGTAGTTGCTACTTGCTCCCACAGCCAATCAGCAAAAACAAAACAAAAACAAAACAAAATGCCACTGCAATGATCCAGTGTGATATCTTGTGAAAGGAAGAGGTGATCAAAATATGTATGCAGGGTATGTATCTGGTAAATTATATGTATGTATGTAGAACACATGTTATGCTGTCAAAACATTTAAAGAAGAATTTATTCATGCCATAAAAACAGAGACTTGAAGAGACAGCTCAATCAAGATACACACACACACACACACACACACACACACACACACATCAAATAAAAACAAAGATATGCTGGACATCATTAGTTATCAGATAAATGCAAATTAAAACCTCAATGAGATGTCAAGTTGCCTGTTAAAAAGATGTGAAGCATTATTCGTACTAGAAGACTAAGATAGGACTCTTGTAGTAGAAAATTGCCAACAAAGTGAGTTAAGAGATAATTACACAAAGTTGAAGTGGACAGTCAATTTAGGTCAAAGTTCGGTTAGGTTAATAGCCACCTCTGTACATTGTTTTAGATAGTGCACCTTTCTGCAGAGTATTCACAGTGATTCCACTTTTATGTATGCTGTTTTTACCTCTACATATTTATCACTAGCAAAATTCTAAGGCAGTCAAATAATTAAATAATGATTCTTCCAAGCATATTTCCTTTGTTTTTCTTCTTTTTTGCAAGTGGAAGTTATGTTAGAAAAATAGAATAAAAAAAAAAACGCTTTTACTGTATAGGCAGTTACATACCACTATTCAGTTATCAAATCTAAATAAACACAATAAGCAAATTAAGTTTTTTTCTTTCTAAATGAATGTCTCTTGAAAAGTTCTAGTGTTAATATTCAATAGAAAATCTGTACATGCTACTTTAATATTAAAAATCCCTCATAGTTTCCCTCATAGTGGTAAAAGCAAAGTCTCTGACCTACACTTGCAGCTCTAGGTAATTTTTCCTATGCAGCCCTCTAGCCACTCAAGATCCTTCCTGCTTCTGTCATTGCAGGCAAATCTCAGTAATGATTTCTGGCTTCTCCAATGTTGGAGACTCTTAATTATCACTTGTGTTTGGCAATTGTCCAAAAGCATCACCTATTTTAGAAATAGAAACTGGGCCCCAACCCATACCTACTGAAACAGAATCTACATTTTAACAAGATCTCTCAGAAATTTATAGACATTGATGTTAGTAGAAGAAGAATTCTAGGCTACCTCCTTGGGAGATCCATTGTCTTTGTTTTTCTTTTCTCACCCTCTCTGATCTTTGCTTCACAAAATTTCTCATTACTTACCAGCTTTCGCTGTTAGAGCTAGGTGTTTGTCTAGAATAGGAACTAGAGTTTTCAGGATAATTAAATTGGTGTTGGTTCCTGAAAGGAATCGAGAGCCTTATTAAAATCATAATTGAATTAGCTCTGACAAAGCAATACAAATAAAAAAACTCAGAGGAATACATGTTATGTATAAACTAAAGTTTATCTACACACGTCAGAAGTGTCACTTGTAGAGGACAATACAGGTGCTTGGTATGGTGCTGATTGTCAAAACAGAAATGTCTGCAATGACTTGATGTTTACAGTTCCAAAATCTGTAAAGCCCTGTGGAGCAATTTGAGCTTTATGTAGTTTGTCCAAATCTACAATGCCCAGTAGAACTTTGCCCTAAAGGGAATCCCCCAGCTCTCAGGGAATTTAGTTCTAGGGAACTCTTTTGGCAAGAGCACATAGTAGTACAATTGATTAACTCTTGTTTCAAAGGCTTATTTATCAAAGAACATTTCCTCAGCATAGGAAATGAAGTCTCCAATTGAAAACATGTACAAGAATTGTTTTCTACATTTTTGTGCTATGAATTTATCTGTTCTACTTTATAAAGCTTAGCACTTTAAAATTTCTCTAATAATTTCTTTCAAAGTATGGGAAATTATTTCTATAATATTCATTGTTCTTTATATAAAAAGTTACATTTTTGTTTAATTTGTAATAATTTATAATTGGCTTTCCAAGATGCCCAAGGACACAAGAGGAAATGGAAATTATTGGTAAGTTGTCTCTGTGCTTCAGTTTCATTACTAAATATGGATAAGAAAAAAGTTAGCTAGAGGACTGATTTGTTCTTATTAATGATGTTTATTATCTTGTTAACCTATCTATGATGAACTCATAAGACAAATTTGTGATACCAGAACATTAAGTTAAAACAGGGTTTAATAATTCAATTATAATGTTTCTTATAAAGGTGCATCTCATTTTGTTCTAAAAAAAGACTAATTTTGTCTAATTAAATTTATATTATGAATAAACATTTTAAGGTATAAATCACATATTAGCTTCTCTACTCTGTCACTCTTTTAATAATAACTGTATCTTATATACATATACATGTACACACACCCCATCTCCATATATATATATATTCCATATAGATGTATGAAATTATACATGAAATACTTCTCCACTGTTCTTTCCAGCATTTGTGATAAAACAGTACCCACATACCAAGAGAATTTAAGAATTTTTAAATTAGCTTATAAATTCAGATACCATGGGAATGAAGCATATCCCAATTTAGAATGCATGTAGCCACTGAAATTATTGTTTTTTCATTTGTGTAGTCATTTTTTTCCTGCAGCCTTGCCTCAACATTATGCTGCTAAAAGAAAACTGTTAAAAAAGAGAGTAGGCTCATATAAATCGTGAACCAAGAAAATTGAAAACTAGGTTAAAATACAATTTGAGTCAGTTTTATTCAAGAACATTACATTTTCAAATCAGAAGGCATAGATTCTGTTAAATAAAACATGGCAGTGTTGCACTAGAAAGAAAAAGAGAAGGTCTTTTATAACAACAAAATAGGAAAGGGTCTGGGCAGATGCAACATTCTTTAAACATAACCAAGATATGTCAGGTTGTTTGGGAACTGACACAGATTTTAGTGGTCATAAATTTTGTAAATCACTTGAAATGTCCAGTTGAGGAAAATTAGTCACTTTGAAATCTCATAAGCCTTTCAGGTATTGAATTAATTGCTGCATCTGGAGTTCCAATTCCTGACAACATAGGTAAAAGGCAACCCACCCCATAACAACAAATCTCTAAGTCTCAAGAATATCTCTCTTTGACCACCAGCAGGAAATGAGTTTATTGATGGGTATTGATTCTGACATAGAAAGTCAGGGAAGATTGTAGTAAACAACTATAAAAATTGATAGGAAAAAAATGTAGTAAAGTAGCCACTCAGAATAAACCACTTCCCAAGGCCATCTCATTGAAGGCTGCTCTGACTGCTGCTGAACTCTCTGATGTCACAGCTCACACCATCAGTTCCACTGCTGAGCTGGGGGCACATTTGCTGGAGGCCTGATATTCCTGCCTGAGATAAAATTACAAAAATTCTCTTCGGTTCCTGTTCCTTTGTTTCTCCCTCTCCAAATTCCAAACCTATTGTGAGTTAGTTTGATTGACAAAATCTAGAAAAATTGAACATCTTATAGGTATAATAGGGTGGAGAATTTAGTTTCTAGTTCTAGTGGGGTGTTAGTCTCTGTCCACCACCAAGATTTTTGTATAGAAAAAGGGATTAAGTGTTGGCTGTCTCATTAATGGCTTGCATCCACTTTGTAACAGTTTGAAAAAAAAATTTTTTGAAACAAGGTCTTGCCATTTAATCCAAGCTGTCCTGGAAATTGGGATACTCCAACCTCGGCCTTCCAAGTGCTAAAATTACAAATGTGTGACACCATGCACTGTTTATAATCTATGTAATACAATTTACAACTTAATCTATTTAATACAATTTACTCAAGTTTCTTTCCTCTTTTTGGCACATTACAATGCATAGTATATATGTAAGTGTACATTTAACTATCACAATGACTCCTATATCATTAATTTATAAGCAATGTTTCATTAAATATATTTCACCTGGACTTTTAGCAGATATTTTTTCTGTATATCTGCTAAATAACCTGAGTTCTCAATTTCATTTAAGCCACCATGACACTCTACTATCATTTACTGACCATTCTCTTCACAATGAATATATTATCGTGTCTTAAAGATACTACACACTGAATTTTTTTGAAATAATGTCTTTGTCCTCTTCACCACTATTAATGTCTTATCATACATGCATTAGGTACTTTGCTTACATGAGTCTCACTTGAATAGAACAGAATGGCTTTCATTTTTCCCTAAGTCTGTTTATACACAATCAGTGAACTGTTTTCATTTTTCTATCCCTTCAAAATCTCAAATAGTTCCCACCAATTATAAAATGTGAAAGAAACATAGAAGACATTCATATAAGTGTATGGTTTTATTTCAAGATGTCCCTTCCAAGAGTTTTCACTTTATCAATATGTAAGGAATGTTTCTCTTACATTTAGTAATTTTTATTTCAGGGAACATCTAGTGAGGACATGGAAAAGGAAAATGCAACTTGGCTGACAGAGTTTGTTCTCATTGGACTTGCACACCAACCAGAGTGGAAAATGCCCATGTTCCTGGTGTTCTTGGTGATATATCTCATCACCATTGTGGGGAACATTGGTCTGGTTGCTGTCATCTGGAATGACCCTCACTTGCACATCCCCATGTACTTATTCCTTGGGAATTTAGCCCTTGTAGACACTTGGATATCATCCACAGTGACACCAAAGATGCTGGTCACCTTGTTAGTGAAGGGGACAATGATATCTCTCTCTGAATGCTTGACACAATTTTTTTCCTTTGCATCTAGTGCAACTGTAGAATGTTTTCTCTTGACAACAATGGCTTATGATCGCTATGTGGCCATATGTAAACCTTTACATTACCCAGTGATTATGACTAATAGACTGTGCATCCGGCTATTAGTTCTAACATTTATAGGTGGCTTTCTTCATGCCATCATTCATCAATATTTTTTAGTCAGATTAAATTTCTGTAATTCCAAAATATATCACTTTTATTGTGACATTTTGCCATTGTTAAAGAATTCTTGTACTTATCCTTCTATTAGTTTTTTGTTGGTATATTTTTTGGCTGGTTCAGTTCAAACATTTAGCTTTGTGACAGTTCTTGCCTCATATACATTTGTTATCTTTGCAATCATAAAAAAGAAATCTGTCAAAGACATAAAGAAAGCCTTTTCCACCTGTGGAGCCCATCTCTTATCTGTGTCTTTATACTTTGGTACTCTTCTCTTTATGTATGTGCGCCCTGCATCTGCACAAAGAGATGATCAAGATATGATGGACTCTCTAGTTTACACTGTTATAATTCCTGTTCTAAATCCAATTATCTACAGTCTGAGAAATAAGCAAGTTTTAGAGTCACTGAAAAAAAGATTGAGAGGAAATGTTTAGATAGCAGAGCAGAGGATATTTTTCCTTAACAAAATAGAAATTCAGTAAGATTAGATTGGGTTTTTTTGCATGTGAATTATTTTTTCTTTGCAATTATAGACTTCCTAGCTTTTTAATTTTTTATGACACAGCATTTTGCTTTGTAGTCCAGGATGCTTGGATTTTGAGATTAGTCTATCTCCTTTCTCCAGTGCTAGTAATATAGGATGTACAACCATGTGCAAATAGGGACCATGCTTTTTATTCATGTGCAATTGTAGCATGGAAGGGCTAAAAGAACTGCAGCTTTCTGGTAGTCTTGGCCCTGGTTTCAAAAGGCCTTTTATTTTTGGTGCAAACATCCTGACCTTTAGGAATGAATGCTCAATTTATCCCGGAGACTGTTAAATTACTTCTGTTGTTGCCACAAACACATACAAACATCTTGGCCTTGTGGTAAGGTTTCCCACTGTGTCTGAATGCAGAACTTACAGAGAATTTTTACATTCTAATTCTACTTGCTCTCCCTCTTCCTTTCTGCACACTAAAATAATAATTTCTGTGAGGTGCTTGGTCTGAGCACCAGAAGACCCTACATCATCCTATTCAGACATCGTTCTGGCTGACTTTGGTGCTCCACATGGCCTGCATCCCAGATTTTTAATGACTTAAGTCATTAGTAACAAAAATCTCCATAATTTTCTGTATACGTCATTTAAAAAAATACAAGGGAATTAGGAAACTGCTCAGGGCATACTACGATAATTAAAGAAAAACAAAAATACTTGATAGGCTTACATGTTCTTCAGTATGGCTTATAAATGCAGTAAATGTTGAACTGATATAGATCTTTGATCAGGACTTGGGTGTGATGTCTTTGACAATAATACTGGCATCATAGGCTGAGATTCATATCACAATTACTCCATAGTGGTAGTAGACTTGTGTAGTTGAACAAGACAAACTCATGAATTTGGGTATCCATCAAAGAAGTACTTTACTACAATTGATTTGGGAAATAGTAAATTCTCTGCTTGTAGGGATTTAACTCAAATATACAGAGAGAAATTATAGAAATGGGAAATAGGAATAAATGAGAAGGAAATTAAAACACTGAAGGCAAGAATAAACTAACATGGATGGTCTTTGCTTAGTGCATCCTGTAAGAAAGGCGAAGCCAATTTTTTCCCTGATTATTGTACCTTTTAAGGTTCTTTGGACTGTATTTCTATGTCCACAGACTACCTTAAGACCTCACTAATTCAGAAAGTTCATTGATTAAATTGAATAATTAAGTTGGAGTGGGTAAAGAGAAGTATCAGAATAGGAAGAAAATTGTCTCAAGTTTTCCCTAATTAAGAAAAGGGTAGGAAGATAAAGTGATAGCTAAATGTAATAGCAATATATAGACATAGTGATGTTACAATGAGTAATTTGAAACTCATATAGTTGAGTTTCAAATAATATTAAGTTATGATATCACAATGTGCAGTGGATGTTTAAGAAAGGAAAATAAGGAAAAGTTTGATGTTATACTCTTAAAATATCTGGAGAGGCTGATTGGAAAGTTAACCTTCCTAAAACTCGATAATGAGATCAGCTGCCTTCCTCCCCCAAAACTTGAATTCCTTACATATCCTACAGGCACCATTTAGAACTTCACTGCAAGATAAACTCATCTTTGTGATGGCAATACTTTTGTTATTCATCTTCATTCAGCTATTCTTCTGTCACAAAATTGTTGCCAGATGATTATTTTTAAGCCCATTCTGATGAAAACATCCTACTTCTAGAACTTTAATGGTTTGTTAGTGCTTTGAGATTACATATATGTGTAGTATATAAATCTAGATCTGAATACATAAATATGCATGTTTCTTTGTTCATGTGTTTGTATGGATTTTATTATATATGAAAGTATATATTTTATTATATATGCAAAAGATACATATACATATGACCATTTGAACACAAAGTATGCTATATGAATATCAATACATATACACACATATATTTATTTATATGTAACTATGTCACTATCCATTTGCTAACTCAGGGACTACTTAAGTTCCTTTCCATTGATATATATATATATATATATCAAAAACAATTACAGGTCATACCTTAGTTTGTCAGGTACATGTTATTTATCATACAGGGTTCTCCTTAAGGAACTCCTTTCCTCTGTCTGATCCTATCCTTACTTAGAATGAGTACAAAGATCTTTGAAGTTCTATCTCAAGTTTTCCTGCTTCGATGATGCATTTGCTGATAATCCCAAATTTGATACAAAAGCTAAATAATTTGACATGTTTGGTAGTTTCTTTATTCTTCTTAGGCAAATCATCCTTGTATAGGACAAAGTACCCTTGTCCTTTTCATACAAATAATTTTGTTGATTTTAATTCAAAACTTATTATTTGTTCTCTTTAGAGTATGTGGCAAAGGCATACATAGATGAGACCCTAAACAAGAATTCTTGAAATATTATTGAAATTAAATTATTCTGATCACACTAATACAGAGCATGTGGTAAGAGTGCATTAATCATTTTCAGTCTTGAGAGGAGTCCAGAGAAATTATAACATGGAGATGACTACTGCATGGCAATTTACCCTAAATTTCAAACTTGAAAAATTATGGTCCACTCAAGAGACTGAGCTCTTATTCTTGTCAATAGGAATGGGTTCCAGAAAGACAATGGAAATAATGAGGGAGAAACAAGATCTGTCAGTATTTAAAATGGGTATGATTTTTCTGTATTTCCAGAGGTCCTGTTTACAAAATTACGATCTGTTCTCTTTTTATTGTCCAGAAAACAATGAATCATAGTGGAGATGCATTTACTCTTTCATTTAGAAAGCACAATTTATTGTCTGATGTTTAACATTTTTATTGCAGTAATTGTCCTGTAGTAATGTGAGCTTTCAGTCAATTTCATAGATTTTTAAGTGTCTTCATTATTATGTCCCAAATATGATGGCAGGAAAAGCAAGTGATTTCTATTTCTTCTGCCATTTAAAAGTTTGTTTCCTTAATTGGCCTTTTCCTTAAATGAGAGGGCAGTCATCAAGTTATAAGTAATAGGCAGTACTCATACATAACTGGTCAAGTTTTACTTTTGTTTGAGTGAGATTGAGACAGGCTTAGACTTCTTCTGCAGCCCTCTCTTATACACATTATTGTTCTATAGATGCCTATAGTCTCCTTGATCTTTCAGAACAATTCCAGTATGTTACTCCTGAAATTTACCAAAACATCTAGTTCATTAGTGTGCTCTCATTCTCACTTTGGCTATAGATTTTTCATTTAATGGGCTATTGGGAAAGAGATACTGTAAGTACTTTGCAAAACCCATATTTGGAGATAATTTTCTTCTGAATACTTTAAAAGGAAACTCAGAAAACCATATGTATTACTTAAAATATTTAGTTATTATATTATATAGGTAGGTTGCCCAGTCGTTTAGAACACTGATCATGTTGTATTGAAACCAACCATTAGAAATACTATTAACACAGAAGAAATTTTATTATGAATGTGAATTCATTTGTTAATATGGAAATTTAATAGAGTTAGTTCATTTTACCATTGTCCTTTCATGTCTTCTGCTTAGAAGGTTATCCCTGTGTTCAAAGAAGGAATATTAGGATTTAGGTAAAAAGAGGGAATTATCAGTCAAAGCTAGAATAGTATTTCTCAAAGCCTGGTTTGCCAAGTAGCTGAGGTAAAGATCTGTACTACTCATGTTTGAAAACGTCTATGGTACAAAGATTTTGATGGTTCTTTTAAAATCACAATTATTATAATTTATTGGGCATTGGAATGTACCAGAGAATTTGTGAAAACACACACTTCCTCACTAGTTTCTGATTTAGAGTTAATGATAATTGGTTTAAGAGATCACTTATTAAACCCTAACTGGAGAACATCATCTTAAGTGAAGTTAGCCAGGCTTAGAAGGCCAAAAGTTGTATATTCTCCATCATATGCAGACTTTAGACCTAAAACAAATGCAGTAACATGATTGGACATGGGTTACATGCTAAAGGGAGAATTCATACAAGTGGAATAGGGAAAGGTAGGAAACTCAAAACTTGAAAGTGTTTGATGTGCCCATGGTAGAGGAGCTATTATAGTAACCTTAAAATGGCAAAGGCCACTATGGGAAGGAGACTGGGAAGTAGTGAAGAGGTCTGGTGGAGATGAGCCAATTTGGGTTGTTATACACATGTGCATGGAAGCAATGCCAGGAATCTCTCTATACAGCTATCTCTATCTCAAGCTAGTAAAAACACTATGTCTTTCTTATTATCTCTTACATGTTCTCTTCAACAAAATTGGAGAAGAAGGCAGAACAGGTTCTGCCTGGAAGTGAGGGAGGGGGAGAGGGCAGGGGGAAAGATAGCCCAGTGTATGCACATATGAATAAATGAATAAACAATAAAAACAAACAAATAAATAAGATAATATGTGCAATGAAATTTTCATAAATACATTTAGAATCCAGTCCAAATGAAGTTACCACATATCATATATTTCTTACTTAAAGAGTACTTTGCAAATATTCTGAAGGTTTCTACCCTCCCTTTTGTACTTGCATTCCTTTTTGGCACATTCAGTTAGTGGATGCATAATTTAACACAGGATCTATTGCATAAGAGGAGTATTTTGATGTTTTTCACACTTTTCATGGAAAATATTACTGAGTATAACCATAGACAGTAAATTAATTTCCATATTTCTGTAAGGATAATTGGAGGAATCTCTGTTCCTTTGGAAAAAATATCATATAAAGTTGCACATTCTGGCTTGGGAATATTATTTTTAAGAAATTTAATATAAAAATGTGTTTATTTTCTGCTATAATGTGTTTTTTACCTCTTCTGGAAAGGTACCTTGCATTTGAGATCATTGACATATTTCTTCTTGCTTTTGAAGGAAAAGAAAGAAATTTTCCTGAGGTACAAAGAAAGTTTATATTTGTGAATGTTTTCCAGAGAATAGAAAACTTAGAATAA